GAAATGCGGTGCATGTGGAAATCAGGGCCATAGAAGAGATGCATGTCCAGATAGACCCAGAATTTAGCTGATTGAATTTGATGGAGTTTTGGTTGAAATAAATGCGTTTAAAATTAATAGGCTGGGTGGGGTGGCCAGCTCGCTTGGGTGTCCAGCTCGCTTGGGAATTACGTTAACTAACTAGTTACCTATGGTACTACGAATTACCATGGGTCATACTTCAAACGTTCTTTGATCGTTGATCATTGTAGAATCCGTGCAAGGTTTCCGGTAGTACTGTGTATGGAGGATATCTGGCCAATGTTGGAATGTTATATGTGAAAAAAAACCCCTGCTATAAAATCGCGACAAAATGCAGAAGCTTGAGAGAACTGGGGATCATATCAAGACAGACTATGATGTAAACTGTAGGCATGGGCTTGGTTGAGGACGTGAACCCAACTGTCAAGGAAACAAAGCCATGGGCGAATGAAGATCCACATCATACCGAGATCTGCTTATTTAGGAACGTCTTCGGTGGTTTCATAGTCGAGCTCGGAAACCATTATGCCCTTTCAAGTCTTCCGGTGTTCACGCTCGAGAGCAAATCTGACGGCATCAAAAACGTTGTCGCATATCTTTCTGGGTGGGAAGCGGGGAACAGCACCATCCTGGTAGACTCCAGTCTTGACCAAAATTGAGAACCAGTCATTTTCCGTGGTCTCGTTGAATTCATTGGTGCCACGGATATCGGACTCCGGAGTATCGCCGATAAAGTACACGGTAGACGGAGACCTGTCGATGCCGCACGAGTCCTTTCGCCACTTTTGCAAAAGCCGGGTGGCAAATTCATAGGTCCCGAGCTGCGGCTTACCGAAAGCAACAGTGTTAAGGTCTTTTCCTGTGATAGCCGTGTAAACAGCCTCGAGGGAAGCGCGCAGCGCTCCCATTCCAAGCCGTGAATGCTCATGCGATGTGGACCAAACCACATCGGTGTGCGAGAAGAAAACCGGCGGACCTTCGGTAAAGATCTCCGACCGTTTATTCAACCAGCCATCTTTGGTCATGAGGCAGTCCAAAATGATTTGCTGGTCACCGGCCCAGTCGCGACTATCTGCAAAGACGAAGATCGCTTCGATGCGGACCTTGTCTAGATCGAGCAGTCGAGAATTCTCGTGCTCCTCATCCGTCAACTTTCGGAATGGCGTAGTATCATGTCTCGTCTTGATGATATCTCCGGGTGTGATGACATTCTTGAATCCGTATCCTTCAGCCACGTCCCGGCATTTCTCACCCTCGCCACCAACCACCAGGACGGTATGGTATCGCTCTGCCATTTCGCGCATGGGCGTGTGGCCACATATAAATTGACCAGGGTCAACTTCCAGGTCGAGTTGTTTGCTTAGATCGAGGCATCGCTCTTTCTCCGTCTTTCCGCCGCCATTGGTCAAGAAAATATAAGGCCTAGGATGTTGCTGTTAGATTCAAATTCCGTTTTTATTTTTTGGGCAATTCTTACACCTTACCCTCGGGACGGGGTGAGATGAAACATGGAGTAACACCCAGGGTACATGCTTACACTTTGACTCCATAGGGGTTTTCACCGTTGATATACTTCATGGCATCAACGGCTTCGGGAATGGGCTTCCCCCCCTTGATGAGAACACCATCTATGTCGAAGGCTAGTGCAAAATCATCGCTAGTAACCTTGGGAGGGTTTGGCATAGGAGTGTTGATTGGGGAAGTATCTTCGGATGAGAGTTCGTGCTCGGCCATGCTAGAATTGAAGATATGGTTAGAAGGAGAAATCATAGAATACTTAGGGACGATGACGTTGGGGTCATAGAGATCAGTTCGAGCGGTGTCCATATTGAGTCGGACTCTTTGAACTCCTAATCCATTTATGGCTATTGTGAGAAGATGAAAGGTGTGGGGTTTAATGACGATGATCGCTGCCTTGATGAGTATAATTACTTCATGTCAAATCTCTCAAGGGAAGTCACACAAGTTCTTCCGGTCCTTGCGCTGGATATGCAGGCGCTCAATTTTCTGTAGAACAAAACAAGAAGATAAAAATTCGCGCAAAAATGATGCAGAACAAGGTGCTACATTTGTACTCCGTGCAAAGTAAGAGGGAGCATTTGGAGGAGAGAAGCAGGGCCATTACAACACAACTGGCCCAAAAGAGTGTTTTACATCATCGACCAAAAATATGGGGCTTTTGTTCAGGCTACCTCGTCATTCTGCCAGTTTTCTGTGGGTTGAAACAAATCTGAAAGTCGTTATCTACAACGGTGCATCCTTGGCGTATGAAACCTGTCCAGCTGGGCTACAAGTTGTCTGACGCGGATTTGATATTGGAAAATGAACGTAATGGCAGATTGAAGACAAGAATTTCCGCCTTCGCGAATCAGGACTAAAAGATGGTACAATCAAGCACGGGGCATTTGGAGTCCCTCGAGGCTGCACAGGGCATATCAGGCCATTGACGTCATGGAGCTGGATCACATTCCCAGGAACGGAGATCAAAATCAGCAAATCAACAACCATCCATGGGTCTCATCTCGAAGGAAGATGATTTGTATCCGGATCTGAAGTTCTGAGTGGCGTGAAAATAAAGATAGATGCTACTAGGTATGTTGGCGCCGCATGCTGGCCGTGACTACCTCGGACCAACATGCAGCTGGGTTAAAGAAGCCATGACCAATCATCATGAGTCTGGATCAATTTTCCTGTGAAATCTCGTTATTTTAAGTGCATCAACTTTAGCAACGAGACATCAAAAGCACTTTCATACCCTTAACTTGGTTTCATGAACTCGTGATAATATCCCGGGATCGCTACCAGAGGTGGTCACAGCGTTCTGCATGCACACCGTTCACTCATCACAACAGCCTGCGTACTACAAGCTTGCGAGTCTCTTAAGGTGATGGCGGATTCAGCCCTTGATCAAGAGATGCAAGGTGGACCGGGTTCTCAACCATACATGGCTATCCGTAGTAGCTCCGTGTAGGGAATATTTGCACCCGGGAGGATTTTGTAGACAGGAAAGGAAGCCAATCTCTGAAGTCATAGCTTGGGTCCGAGCACAGCCTGTGCACATAAATTGGAGAAGAGTTATTACGATGATGGTAGACAAGCGAGCGCCGTTGAGTTCGGGCCTAGGTTGGAGGGGATTCACAAGCCAAATGGAAAATGCATTTTTTATCGCAGATGTGTTTGTCGCCTAGGTAGGCGTTGGAACAGGGTTCTTGAGGAGCCTCGAGGTCCTGTGGAAATTCAAGTAAGCGGAGATCTTAAATCACCGAAAAGCATCGAGGTATCTACCGACAAAGATCGCGATCGACAGAATCTGCGGTAGGATCCCGCTTCTCCACTGGGCAGCTTTTCTGTTTTTATGTGTAGGGCTTATCGTCTTGGAGATCTTGATTTGATGCTATCCACACAATTATTGGAAATGTCAGGGCCAATCACATCATCTTGTGTTTTAAATTCAACAGGACACTTCCGCCATGTGGGCTTGGTGCAATTCCTCGGGTCCCGTCTTGCTTCTTTCAGTGCTGGATAAAATGACAACATTTAAAACTTCGCGAAAGAAATCCCATAGGGAAGTACAAAAATACGACAGTCAATGAGTTATGACGAAAAGGAGAAGAGAGAGATCTCTACGGACCTACCGAAGAAATCCTCAACCGGGAAAGTCCGCCCATAGGATCCCAAGCAGGACTTCTTGGCAAGATACAGTGGACTTGTTATAATATCATCCCGTCTGTGAGGCTTCCAACCTGTTTGATTCGTTCCCAAACAGAGCAAAAGGTTATGCGAAAATTTCAAGATGGGAAATTTTTGATCATGAGAGATGCATCGGACCCGCTGGTCTTGTTAACTTCAGCCCTCAAGCCGAGACGTCAGATCCAGAATCCTCTGCAAGATCATCCATAAGAGCATCAAGGTCCATTTCATCCTCAATATCGGCCCAGTCATCCAAGAACACGTCCTCCTCTCCGAAGTCGTTTTCTTCCCAAGGAAGTGCCAGAGGTTTGCATGGATGGAAGGACATACGGTGGTAAAAGGACAAGCATTCGCAGGAACACAGGTCATATTTGGGCAGATCAAGAGGATATGGAATGGAGACCATGGACATCTCCACATTCAGCTCCGCAAATTTGCTTTTCCAAGTGTTGCCCTCTTGACACACCTCGCCGGCGGGTGGGTTGAACTTATGTGGGTTGATTGATGGGAGGTGCTCCATGATCTCTGGTACCTCGCAGGTAAAGCGACGCAGCTTTGGAAGTTTTTCGTCTTTCACCATCTCGTAGATAACCGAAGGAAGCCAGGCCTTCACTTCATCGTATCGTATCGTAAGACTCTCGAGATTCGGCGGCAGAATATCATCTGTTGGATCCAGCTCTATGCATTCCCTTCCCGCAAGGGTGGCGATGGTTGTGGTGAGATGTTGGAGGCGGGCTAGTTCAACAAAGTCTGTCTCGTCATCCGCTCCCCAGTAAAGATCGTAATCGATGTATTCCAAGGAACTGTAGTGTGAGAGCGCTGATTGAATGTAACATTCAGGTTCTTCCTCCATCATATCCTCTGACCTAGGACCTCTGAAGGTAAACCGCTTCAAAGCTGCTGGGTATTCAAGCGCCGTTTGGAGGTCAAAGGGATTGATAACGCAATTCAAAAGGGTCAGATCCTCCAGAGGCGATTTAGATAACGTTAGTGAAGAGGCAGACCGGGAAAGTCGGAAGGCAGCGCCAGTGATACAGAGCTTTCGTAAACCTGGATGACAGAAGAGTGCTTCATTGACAACTGGTAAGCATCTGCCGTCCATCTTGGGATTGTTCTCATCATGATCATAGTCGGTTCCGATGTGACCTGATAACATTAGATTATCGATCCAGCGGATAGAGTCAGTCATAAGACTCACAAACACGCAGAGCAGGCAGCCCCGGCGGGTGTTGAAGAGAAGCATGCCAAAATAAAGTTTCGACCGCGCCTTCTTGCGTGTGACTAAGCTCACGATCTGGAGGACTGAATGATGATTCTCCTGAAGGCCCATATCCCAACCTTCGGTACTCTTTGACACTTCCTGATCCAGTGGCAACCTTTGCCGCCCATTGCAACATGGCTTCATCTCTGGCAGACGAATTGGCCCACCGAGTAGAGTCAAGGGGCCTGGGATTTCTTCTCAAAACCAAGTTCTTCAAATTCGGCAAAGTTACAGCCGTCTTATAAAATTTGAAATGACGGCACGACCAAAATTCTGATCCCGTATCCTGCTTGTGTCGAATCTCACAAATGAGGGGTGCTAATTCTGGACGCTTCTCTATCGTGAGAGCAAGACGAGCACCGCTATCTGAATTAAGCAGGCGTACGGATTTGTAGAGCAGAGGGATAATTCTGGAATAAAGTGCAGGACATGTTTGAGCAAGTCGGCTCAGATGTTGGGCAGATTCTTCATCATGTAGGTATTCAATGATGATATCCCAGAGCTCCAGAGGAAATACTGGCAGTGATATGGATCTCTGGGTGAACTTCTGCGCCGTTAAAGTGGCCATTGAGGATGGACCAACAGGGCGATTAGATGATCTTGAAGTTCGAACACACGTCGGAATGTTGAAAGACGTGGATGGTCGGGTGGTCCAGCTTCTTATCTAAGCCCCACGCGTTTGCTTTGTTTTTTTTTGGAAAATTGATCTTTGAGAGTCGAATCAAGACAAGTTAGAAGGAAACCAAGAAGGAATCTATTACTATGAGGAAGCCAAGTCAATTTCTAATGTAGGTCATCGAATATCTATACATTGGAACTAGATTCAAAAATATTCAAAAGCTCTCCAACCATTATGAAAGAACATGTGATATTGTACAAAAGCAACCTCGCATAGTTGGCATAAATCCCAAACCACACAACCCCATCAAAGAACATCATTCTACTAATCAACATGGAGAATTAGATCAGCGCCCTTCCTCGCTGGCGTCAAATTCCGACTAGTCGGAGAAACCCGATTCGACAAAGCGCCGACCTTCTTCTTCGGACTATCAGGGTAATGCACAGCACCCGGAAACATATCTGAAGGATACGGCAGTTCTTCAGACGGTTCTTGGGACTTTGGCGGCGCGATGACACGTCCACGCTTCAGCCACAAGTCGTCTGGGCAGTATGGCGCGACGACTTCGCTAGGCGGTCGTGAATTGTTCTGGATCTGTACACGTTTGATATCGTTTCCGCCTGCTATCTGCGGCCTGGATGCTACCTCTGAGCCTGGGGGAAGGGTTGAGGATGATGGGGTGGGGTGTGGATGAAGCGCCTGTCGCCCTGGTGATGAGCTGCGGTTCCGGCGGTGGGTCTGGATAGTGTTGACGGGAGCAGCGAGGAAGATGTCTGAGTTTGAGAAGGGGCAGAAAGGTTGTAAGGTTTCGGAAGTTTCGTCGGGTGCAGCGCTGCTGTCTGATGGCGAGGTTCTGAAGGCTGGGTTGGGATTGAATGGGGGTGCCAGGGCAGTCGGGCCCCCGGATCTTCGTTTGACGTTGCCCGCTAGGGATTCCTTTTTAAATGCTCGTGGATTGGCTGGCAGTCCTACGAGTTTCATCGGAATCTCTGGCCTTGGGAGATTATTGTGCATCATTCCTGCTGCTGCTGCTGCCGCCGTCGCTTGTTGACTTCCGTCTTCTTCAAAGAGAGTCTCTCCACTAGGTGGCCGATGACTCCACCTTAGCGGCTTTGGGTATAGCCCAGCCGTAGGATCTGGGAGTAATTGTGCTACGCTGTGCTGTGATGATTGCGTCCGAGGCGAAGCTTCCCAGTCCGAGTCAGAGCTGATGGCAACCCCTATTCGCTCTTGGTGTTTGAGCTCTTTACTCTGGCCCGAGTGATGTACTGTGACAGATTGTGGTGAGCATCGTGATCGTGTTTGACCATTGGCCATTGGATGGAAATTACGTGGCCACTGTAACGGTGTCTCCCGGTCACTCGTTGGACTGTATGAAGATCCTAAGCCCAAACCGTCAGTTGGGAGCCGTGGCATCGGTTTCAAAAAGCCCGAAGGCTCAGACGCAGCAGCGCCTCCGATCTCGAAGCTGTGTGGCGCTACCTGCTCCCACTGTCTTTGTCGCCATCTCTTGCAGCAGAAAAACACAGCGACACCGATGATGAAAGACCCTGCCACACCTGATGCTACTGACATTCCAATGACCGCCGCTGGGGTGATACCATGATCACCTTTCTTATTCGTATCTTCAGAAGAATTACTGGAAATTTGTTCAGTAGAGGGTGTTGGTTTCACTTGAGACACTGAAGATGAAGAATTATCATAGATTGTGAGTTCAGGTGTTTGACTGGAAGTAGTTGGTGTCAGTGCCGATGCCGATCTCGCTGTGGACGTTGTCACAGAAGCCTCCGAAGTGTGTTCAGTTGTGAAAGTCGAGCTAGATGATGTCGCCTGTGTGGTATTTTTTGCCTCGCTCGTTTTTGTTACACTCGCATCAGAAAAGATCGTTGCGGTAATCGTCTGGTGTGTTTTCGGAAGAGCTTCAGATACCGAGTCACATATGTGATAAGCCATTGACTTTGCGATGGCTGTCTGTGAGCATACAGACAGAACACAGCTCAAAGCGGCTTCCCCCAGTGTCAAGCTACTGGTTGTCTTGGTGCGGCAAAGGCACTTGATGTTGGATGGCGACGTGCATTCCATGGGTGTGTATTCGGACTTAATGAAGCTATCAACGCAATCCTTGGCACAGTCTGGGATCATGTCATACAGGGCTAAGTTTGATGCGTCGCTGGAGGTATCGTCGGCGGCAGAGTAGAGTGCGAGTAAGAGGAGGATCGCAATGAGTATCCTGTGGGTAGGAAGGACGAGCATGCTGCGGTAGCCCTATACACATTTACCAGGAGCGACAATATGGCATGTATTGTTCTCCCATCAAATTTCCTTGCTTATTCTTGCATAGGAGTGATTACCCGTGAAGACTTGTATGTGTGAACACCATAATTGGTAGATGTGTCTGCGAATTGAATAGCAGATGGCGAGAAGATAGCTAAACAAGCATACAACACCAGAAAGAAGATACAAAGGCCAAAAAAACAACCAAAGGAGGGGACTCCAATCTAGTAAAACACGAATTTAAAACACGACATCATTCAGGGCGCGAGGCAAAACTGTCCTTAACGCCCATTGACCGTTTAAGGCCAAGTATCTGTATCTCGACATCACTCTGAAACACAATGCTTGAGGCTGTGTATTTTTAGGCGCTAGAGTGAGACCGCATGACATTGAAAATAGTGGTAAGATCCCCTTAGAGACCTTGGGACGAAGCGCTGTAGAGGTAAAGCACCCTGTCCGGATGAGGGGCCTAGCAAGCGGCTCCGATACGCGCCGGGTCATCGAAAGCGCTTAGGCTGCAGAGAGAGTTGTGGATATTGCCGGGCTAGGTTTCAGATTTCTTAAGCTTGGTTTTTGAGTGACTGGATTTTTATTCTTTTGGGCAATTCAACAGTATGCTCTGTGCAGTGTCGTGATTGGTTTCGCTTTAGTTGAGGGTTACTCATCTGACGATGATTTATCCAAGGTGTTCCTCGAAACCCCCCCCCCCCCCACTTCGCTCAAAGATTCAAAAGCCTGACGGCTAAGGTTGCCCAAGTCCTTTCTAACGTATCATCTGAGTGGCCATTTTTTTGGGATTTGCTGATGGGCTACCCCGGTCTGCCCCCGGATCAGTCTATGGAGCAGTTGCACCCGCCTCATGCAACGCTTTGCACCAATCACTCAAACCAATTCAATTGCAGACATGGCTGAGGTCTACAGGGCTTATGGTACTTGGGATCAAATCTGATTGATTTGCTTTTCGGCCTACTGCGAGGGATTCTAGGCACTGTATGAGGACTCCGTACCCAGGAACCATCCAATCTACATGTTCTTTGTCTTTACTCTCCCTACTCGGAAACAACTCGGTAGATTTTAGGAAAAGACCCATTCCCATGAATTCATAAAAGACTAGCCAACGGCGGGCCTTGGAACAAAAAGACGAAGCCCCAGAGTCAGACCGTATGAGCTGGTATCATTCAAAGAAAACGCAAGAACCCGCAGTATCAAGCAAGACAAAGGAAAAGAAGCAAAAGAAACATAACGATGCGACCACACAAAAGATTAAGGAATTATGGACATCTTGTCGGACTCGAGTCGGACCGAATGCCAAGTGGTGGAGTCTGCATTAGGCTAGTCTCAACCGGACCTCCACGGAATCACACTGACACCGACGTTCAGGGTATCGAATCGCACCAACCCTTGCTCAAAGCGCAATGCGAGAAGAGAAATGGCTGATGTAAAATCGGTCGCAGTGAATCGCTTCCCAAGGGATGTTGGTCTTGGAAACCGTTGATTGCGAAGGTGTGTGGGAAGTGGGTATCTCTAGTATTTGAAAATAATGTAGCTATCATATGGTCAGCAGCTGTCGCAAGACGGTGGAAACTCATCAAAGAAACACATACATGGCGTGGATTACACCGGGGATCCATCCCAGAATGGTCAATAGGATGTTGATTAGAAAATCGGCACCACATCCGCGCTCCAGGAAGACACCCAGAGGAGGTAGGATAATGGCGAAGATAATTTTGCAGATGTCACTGTTCACATGGTTAGTACACTGGACATAGTCTCACAGCTAATAACGCGACCTGGAGGGCCGAGAGTGACAATGTGACAGGGTGACAATGTGCAAACTTAGGATAGTAGAAGGCCCAGAGCAGACACATCAACTTACGAAGCGGTGAAGGCCATTTTGGGCAGATTGGATGGAGGTTTTAAAATGTTAACGGGGAAAATGGGAAAGAAAGTGGAGGGAGAGAAGTCTTAAAAGGAGAGGACCTAAGAGAGCTTCGGTCATTACATCATAGGCCGCCACCTGTGGCTCACAAAAACCACTCTTTCGTCCGCACCAGGCTATGTTTGTGGCTTAGGATGACCGCTAATTTGTCTTGGTCCTTTTTTTTTTTCCAGGTTTTTCTTCCCTACATGGTACAAGGTACATAGTACATGGTTGATATTTCAATTGTAGCTTGGTATTAACGCACTAACTACGTACTCACAGAGTTGCCAAGATAATGTTGCTGGCGGTTGTGACCAACCCGGTTCTCTCACCTATCCCGTTCATCCCTTTGCTCGCTGCCTAGAGGAAGCTTGGCGCTGGGGAAATTAGCCTGCACTTCAATCTTTTTTTTGAGGGGGTTTTCCAATTACTTTTTCTGTTTTCTTTTTATTTTCTGTTTCGGTTTGAACCTTTTGGGAGGGGGAGGGGGAGGTTCTGTATTTGACTGCATCTGTTGAACAGTACGGGTTCTTTGTTATTTTTATGCACATACATGTAGCTACGCGCCTATGCCAAGTCTCATAATGGTGATTTATCTTGACAAACAACGCCACGTCTAAATTTGATCGGAATCTTTTTCTTGGTTATGTCTGCCAAATATATGCTTTGCTGTACAGTTGGTGGTGCTGAGAGTACCAGGTCGTGGCCCGACAGCTCAGCCCTATCGATGGGCCCTTTGCCCCCACCTGCCAAGGCACCTATATTGGCATCACAGGGTTGGCGTTGATGACTTCACTAAAACCAAAAAAAAAGTGGCTGAGAACAATGTTAAACATTAAAGAGAGGCACGATGTACACACGTTTTAAACCAAATTTAGAGGGGAAAATGACTATGCATATATCGTATTCAATACACTGATCAAGTCGGATTACATGTTGCTTTCCTTCCAGCCAGAATCAACATCATCTAACAAGGAGTTCCACTACGAGACGTTTAGATTTTGCATAGCAGCCACAAAATCCCACGAAAGCTATAGATTGCAAGCCTCCTTTCCTACCGTCATCGATCAAGTCCTGTCCCCATTTGCAATTCCATGTCCAAATGACTGTCAATTTATTGGTCATTGACGTTTCTATGGGTCCACCAATCGAGGTGCCATTTTAACCCTCACAAGTCGCTACAAGTCGCTGTCTTTTTTTTTTTTTTTTGCAAGCAGAAGATCCACGCTGCGGACTTGGTGTACGGGCCGCTGTTTCGGGGCCGCTGCTTTTGTACTGTGTCCAACAGCAGCGTATGCATGTTCTCCTGAGATCCTGGGAACAATGATCTAGTTTTCCCTTCGATTTCTCTAGGGATTTGTAAGCTGCAGACATCCTGGCTTTTCGGTCCTCGGCGTCTGGTACTTTGGAGATGGATAGTTCAAACTTGGATGCTTCGGTTGGAAGATATGGTACTTTTGTTTTTTTGAAACTGCCCGAGAATAGACTAGCATGTCTTGTCCATAGACTTGTCTCTCAGCGCCGAGTCATGGCTATCAGCTAGACCGAAGTGCCCCAACGAGACATGCACCAGGACAAAGCCTTATTAGCCGGCGCTGTAGGTATTTATTCTATGCTACCGAAAGCACATCTTTGAAAAGCTCTCTGATCCTCGATGCACTCGAGGGTTTATACTGAGTATTCACACGAGATTTTCATTTGCACACTACGTAGTTGAAGCATGGCTAGGCTTAGTCACAGCAGCGCTTTCTCTCTCTCTCTCTCTCTCTCTCTCTCTCTCGCAAGCCTAGCACGACAAGGACAGTCGATTCCAAAAATGTATCATAATGATCGAAAAGCCATGGATATCTTATCACACGTTCAATGCAATTCACCTAAAAGCTTAGGAGCATGAATAAGTTGAAGGCGAACCGAAAACGTCAGCGGCTAATGCAGCCTTGTGCCGACCTTTTAACAAGTAGCTTGCAAACTCATCTTCAAAGTTATTTTGGTAATTCCCTTGGACGTCTTGCTCTCCATCAATTCCGTAGCTAGAAAGATGAAAAAAAAAAAAAACGCCAAAACGCACGAAACGTGCAACATTTTCTGTGTGCAACCTTGGAACACGTCCATGGGTGCTCCGCCGTCTTCCGCCGGGGATTGAGCACTGATTTCACCTCCGGATCAATCTTGAAATTAACTCGGCTTCAAACAAATGCTCATGTCAAGTACGTTGCGTAATAGTACTCGCATATTGCACAAAGTGAACTAACCAGTGATCTCTACAAACCACCGAGGACGGTGCAAACAGATGTTCCGTTCCGTGACTGACCCACTATCCTCCGCATTAACTTGCGCGTTTTCCTAATTGGACCAGCTTTGACCTTGACATTTTAATGCCAATGAGATTCAGACAAATGAGGGTAGCCCTCAATTCCGGGCGCTGGCAACTGCTGAGCTCATGCAAAGCTCCTGGAAGCCTCGGTCGCGGAGATAGATGGTACACGACGCAGAACCTGGCCAAAGATGGGCGGCCTTTGGCATACACATGGCTCACAAAGACAGCAGAAGAGACAGTGAGCAAAATCAACATTTCTGCGCTTTTGACATTTAAGCTAAACAAGCAAAGACCCCAGACGACATTCTGTCCAGTCTTCCTTCGGGGCCTGTGAGCCCAGCAGCTGCGCCCGCTTCTATTCCTCTCCTCCTCGTTACTCCAAGCTTTGCCCACTGGCTCGATTCATCTAGCCCTTTCTTGTCACAATTTTTAAGTCGCCTCTATGGAAACTCCCCGGAGAATGATACTCTCTATGCCGTTACAGCTGTGGTCGACGCACTTCCGAATGCTACATCCAAAAGCACCAATTTAAGTGAGTCCGAAGGGCTGTCGCTTCTGATAGTAGGGCAATCAAGTGTCCAGGCAAAAACTGCACCACCCCGTCTCATCCGAAGCTCTGCCAGTGAGGAAACCAACCTCTTGTTTTCATTCCAACCCAAAGTGATTGGTCAAATCAGCAAGGGACCTGCGCACGAGGTCGGATTGCGTCTAGCGAACACTATATTTGTCAATGGGAGAGAAACAACGATCTCTGGTACACGCTGGCTCTGGGATAAACCCTCAAACGCATATACTTTGAACAGTTCGATCGATCTCACAAGCTGCATGGTGACAACCACTTCCCAGGCTGTAGATACCGCATTGGAGTTGCCATTGCATCCAGTGACTGAACGACGAAGAGTCATGACTAGCATGGGAAATATTTTACGGCAACTAGCAAAATCGACGGATGTGACGTCAACGGATACAATGCCTGCTTCGTCGGAGCTCGAGAGGGAGCTTCCACGTTATATCGCAGAACACAATATCATTGACCAGCGTGTATCCGTCTGGGCGCTTGTCGAGAAACCTGACTTGGTGATGGCTGATTCAGGTTCATCTACTCATGATCGCTTAATCCAATCTCTGCACCAAGGCGGGAAATTGCACCGCGTCATGAGCGGTGGAGGCGGATGGGGAAAGAAGCAAGGCCTTCTTTCGCTAGATCCTGAAGTCGGTTTCTCAGGGACTGCCAATCAAGACGATCTTGTCACACTGAGCCAAGTTTTTGACCCTGATACCACAAAGTTGGATACCCTCCCTTCTATCGATAAAGGGATTACTGTAGATGATCTATCTCTCCTTTCACAGGTTGCTACTGCAGGTGATTATATTCAGTTCTTTGTGTCGGTAGAACCGACTGGGGCACAGGGCAGTGTTTCAAGCAATATTGACTTGCAGGAAGAGCCCATCAGCTATCACTTTGGAATGGTAGCTGACTCCATGAAAATTGAGACACATGCAACGGATGAGGACAGTAATGGAGTCATTCCTCTGCCTCGCACTTTTGGAGCATTGTCAGAGAAGGCGATTGCGTACTCGCAGCCCATCAAAGGAGAGGTGGTGTCGGAGTCGTGTACGAAGCTGAATATTCCAGGATCTCGAGTTGTCCTCAAAACTGTATAAAAATCTGATACATGTATCTTAATGCAATAAATAACTAACTGAACATATCCATCACAGCTGACTCTACATTAGTCCGTATACACATGTCACATATGCATAGGCTGTAGTTGACTCTTGTCTCGTTGGAGATGCCAAGACATTACACGTGACCCAGAGAGGCCAGCGTTTGCCGTCAACCTCCAAGCCACAGGACTCTCCATCCTCCCCGACCGCATCCAACTGAGCTTGCCGACCTCGGGTGTTTCCATTACTTTTTAAAGCTCAAACCACTCCACGAGTACCTCGTCGGGTCGTCTTTCATCAAAATGGCAACTGAACTTTGGTAAGTCGTCCACCAGACCTCTTTCCAGCCCCTGGGTGCTGGACAGCTGCCGATCGATACCTTGCTATCAAGCCCGTCATTCCCCAGAACTAATGGATGGGTCTTGCTAACATTTGGATTTTGACAGCCCCGTCTATGCGGTGAGTCTTATAATATGCTAGATCCCAATACTTGAGCACGACTAAGTTAATCGCCCGTGTCTCGGCCCTTACTCGTCATTCACTTGCTCACAATGCATCGCAACGGTCACTAATCTTTCTTCATTTAGCCCTTCTTTGGTGCGCTGGGCTGCACCTCCGCTATCGTTTTCACCTGCTTCGGTGCCGCATATGGAACTGCTAAGGCTGGTGTCGGAGTTTGCTCTATGGCTGTCCTCCGCCCCGACCTGATCGTTAAGAGTATGTGTATCTCACCTATAGCTCTGCCGATCTGGCAATGAGAAGTTTCTAGCGTCTTGCAATGATACATGGCAACAATTCGCTGACTCAGATACCAGACATTGTCCCCATTGTCATGGCGGGTATCATTGGTATCTACGGCCTGGTCGTGTCGGTCCTGGTTGCCAACGACTTGACCCAGCAGCTTCCTCTCTACACTGGTTTCATCCAGCTCGGTGCTGGTCTGTCTGTTGGTCTGGCTGGTCTTGCTGCGGGGTAAGTTTGCGATACCGGGTGTTTACACATGTTCTAGAGCTTTGTTCCTAACTCCCATTTCAGTTTCGCTATTGGTATTGTTGGTGACGCCGGTGTTCGTGGAACGGCTCAACAGCCTAGACTGTATGTCGGAATGATTCTAATTCTCATTTTCGCTGAAGTCTTGGGTAAGTCGTGGCTGCTCCCCATGCCAATCTGTATCATCGTATCTAACCACTTCTCCCCCTCGCAGGTCTGTACGGGCTGATTGTTGCCCTTCTCATGAACTCTCGCTCGAAAGCTGTCTGCTAATAAAGACCTCCCACTGCATTCCGGAAATTGGACCTCGAATCGCCCCATGGAATGTCCCTATGCGATTCATGGTTCGTTCCCGAGGGTGCCTTTTCAATATTTCCCCGACTCGAACCAATGTTCCTCTTCGGCCGGGGAACCTGACACGATTAACTTGGTGCGGGTGCAGGATTGGATGATATCGGAATGTGATGAATCGATTTCAGTCCGTTTGAGATTGAAGATTTGATGACTGAGTGGATGTAAAATCCGGGAATCTGTTCATTCATTCGTCCTGAACTCGGTGGACAGGTGTGGTAGATACTGGATTTTTGGCTTTTACATTGCATGACACTGCGCTGGACTCTGTACTTTATATGAAATTCGCTGATCCGGGGCTTGAGTCTCCATCCTCTCTTCCATTATGGTGGTTAGGCAGGGTCTGCTGTATGGAGTTTCTTGTTTCTTTACTTCTTGTCCCTTGTCTTCATTGTAGACTTGATATCCTTCATATGGAAATCGCTTCAATTCTTTTGGTTGCGTGCCCTTCATTACCTCAAGTTGGGTTTGGTAGGACAGTAAACCTTTATTTGTGCATTCAGCATTACGGTGTTGTCACTCATAGTCCCATGTTCTTGGGATGCAGATCTGCCTCGGTATTGGGACATGGTGGGCAAGCTCAGTAGAAGAGATCATCTAAAATCGAGACAATCCCTGCTTTATTGTGACCTACAAATTCAGTCATTTAACTGAGATTGAAGGGGGATATTGAATTGGAGAAAGCAGCGGCGCCACAACAGAAATCGAGTCATCAATATCTATTAGGATGGGGAGAGTATTTGCTCACATAACATAGAAACCAAAGACCGCACTTACTTCTGCGCAAGTACAGCTATTTGCAGCAAGAAAGAGCAAGGGAGAAGAGGTATGTGGATATTTAATCGAGCATAGGCGAGAGAAATAAGTAGGGGAGAACGAGAGGAAGTAATGAAGAAAAAAGCTTGAAAACAAGGATATATGCCCTGAACTCTCACAAGACTAGCCTCGACCCAAAATGCAGGCAAGATGCAACTGACTGTGAAAAGAACAAAAATAAACCAGGGAACCACGAGCTCGATTCTACTTGTCGAGTTTCCGTCTCAGAGTACGCGTTCTCTTCATCAGCTTCTTGAACTTGTGCTTCTTCATCTTGGCCTTGCGCCGTCTCATGGTGCTGATAGCATGCATGGTGTGATTGTTGCGCAGACGTTCAATGTAACTCATGCCTGCGGTGGAATCAGAGGGCGCCTCGATGGAGATCTCGTCGCACATATCAGATGGGTCCTCCATCTCTCCGTTGCGAACGAAAGGTCCCGTGTGTGCCTCATAGGTCTTGCGACCGTCGGCGTGGCGAGCTTCGCGGATCGTCAGGACGGTCGAGTAGGTCTGGTACTCGTTTTCAATTTGAGCATCGGTTGACTCGGCAGTCTCGATAGCGGATGTGTGCATGGGGACGGGCGGGGGAGGAGGCTGGAATGGGCGAAGACGACGGGTGAATTCCTCCACAGAAAACTTTGCATCGGGGCCATTCAACATACGGAGTTCGCCGTCCTGTTCGCTGAAGCTTCGGAAATGGTCTTCGGACTCTGACATACCCTGGGAGCCAGTTTCCATCGACTGCACAGCCGAAGATAGAGTGAAGATGACGTCCTCAGGCTCGTTCTTCAGCGGCCGCTTTGACGAGAAGATCGCTTCGAATGCATCGGTGCTCGAGGTCGGGGGCACCGTGGTCGTCACCGAGATTGGCCGGTGGATGGAGAAGAATGATGCTACATGAACATCTAGTGGCGGAGAAAGAAAAGGTCAGATTCGGATTTTTTTTTCTTTGCAGTGACAATATCAAATTTAGAGCTTGCGAGGGCTTGAGCACTCACCATGTGGCTGTCGGTGTTGTGTCGAGGGCACACTTGGGAGGTTGGAAAATGCCGTATGTTGCCTAGACTTCGAAGATCCGTTACGGGCAGAGCTGTCCTTCCCCCGACGGCGGTTAGCCTTGCTCTTCTCGTTAGACGAGTTGACTCCCTTTGCCGGGGCAGAGGGGTCCATTCGACGGGATCCATCGCTGGGCGGGACGGGCGGTTTGGAGGAGGAGGAATACCGGCGTTGTTGCAGAGGTCGGGCTGCGCCGAGCAAGCTGCTGGTAAGATTTTGACCGGAACGAGATATCCCTGGAAGCAGCATGGGGGTCCATGCCGCCCGGCGTAAGGATGTTGACAACATGTTTGGCAGATGACCCAGTCACTGGGGAGGTGAATGAGTCTTGAGGCGAAATCAGTCGGCCCGGAACTCGGGGTCACTGATCATGCGGATGTTATGTAATATATCTGCCTAAGGCGCACAAAACATGAACACATTCGCCAAACTTGAACTCGCATGATTCGATTTGATGGGGAATATCTCCATCTTCTAGGCGTATTGGCTGGGTGATTTCTTCTGGTCATCTGGTTTAGATTTGAATTCTAGGGTTCTATGTAGTGTAGCTCGGGAAAAATGGTCCATGTCTTGTGATCGATCTACAGCAAGGAAGGCGATGGTAAGCAACTTGAGAACCTGATATGTATCCCTATTTTTGGAAGCTGCATTGAGACTAGAATTCAAAGAGTAAAAGAAGTGCTCATTAAAGAGCAGGATATCGAGTTCATTCAGAGAGAAGATGTAGTAAATAAAGACCCAGAATGATTGTGATAATACAGAGCAGTCATTAGTAAATACAGCTGCAAAGACAAACAAATGGTATCACTCTGCATTAAACCAAAAAAAAGGAAGAGAGACTGGGAGATGGCAACGATACAGTCGCTAAACGGAAGCGTGAGCATTAGTTGGCGAAATCGGATAGGCTTTTTGGATGCAACGTGATAGACCCAATGATGTGAGCAGAGAGTAGACAACAACCTCTCAGTCAAGAAGCCGCATTAGAAAACAAGAAAGAAAAGAAAATGAGAATGAGAATGGCAATGATCACGAATGAGTGAACGAATAGTAGCCGCCTTAGAATGCAACCGGAGGGTAGCTGGCAGGCTGAAGAGCTTGAGAGATAGGAAATGAAAAGAGAAAAAAAAAACATCGTCACAGACAGACGGTCATGGGGAATTCCTCGGGGATTTGAGGGCCTCTACCTTATAGTATTAAGGTATGCAGATTCTTCTGAATGATCATGTCCTGTACTGAATCCATAGTCGCCTTGAGTAGTGTTGTGTCAGTTGCATTAGTGTAGTGGATGTAAATTTCGCGGTCTGGGATACGGTTGATGCCACGGAATCGGTCTGCAAAGTACTGTGCCGAGGTATCATAGTCGGTGTCAGAGCCGGTATAATCTGGGAAGTGCTTCGAGATAGAGGAGATGGCGAGTTTGCGTTTGAACAGATCAATCTTGTTGAGGAATAGAATGATTGGTTTGCGCTTAAACCATTCGCCGTTCACTAATGATTCGAATAACATCATGGCCTCATGCATTTGATTCTGTAAAATGTGATTAGCGGTGCGACCGAGGAAATATGGAAAATCATGCTTACGGCATTCTGGTCTTCGACCAGACATTGATCGTATCCGGACAAGGCGACCATGAACAACAGGCACTGGACACCCTCAAAACAGTGTATCCATTTTTTCCGTTCTGACCGCTGTCCTCCAACATCCATCATGCGGAAGTTCATCTGTCCGAGTTCAAACAGAGTTTCCGTAATACCCGTTGTCCGAAGCCGAGCCTGCAACATGTC